GTGTGACCATATAGGTCCCCGTGGATTAGCCGTGAGCCGATTCTGGATAAATCCAGAAACCCGTCCGGAGGCCCAACGACCATGGTAACATCTGCAATGTGCCATAGTCCCTAACCCACGATGAAGAAATACTTCATCAACCCATTTCAGATCATACGTACCATGCAGGTAAAGTCCCTCCATTGAGATATCCTAATCGAGTATAGATTCTGGAACGTCAAAATCCTAAACTCGATCTTCTACCGAATTGTCGTCAATATGTCCGAAACTTGTCATCACAACTTACTTTTGTATGACTATAATAGACTCTGGCCGAGATTTAGTTTTCTGACATTTATCGATGTTTGTCTAGGAACCTCGAATCCGGAGGGAGTCAGCGGTACTCCCGATCCTATATTTCGAGTCAATGGACCCCTCTTGACCATCGTTCGTTTCCGCATATGAACAACGCATGACCAAATAGGCTTTATTGTACGAAACATGATTAGTCTCGTACTTATACACCGTATGAACCATACGCATCCATATCGGATCCGACTACAATGTCTCAGGTCAAAGGACTACATCGTGCACTGATATAACCAAGATAAATCATTGACTACATGCTTTTCCAAGTGATTTGTCGTTATTCGGTCACGTTCGAAAAACGTTCACCAACCGTTAATCCATACCAATGCCCCAGTGACATGACTATCATCGTCATCCGTACTTATATCAACTCATGATATCTTTCGAAGCATCCGGTATGCCTACTGTACAATATAGTTGCCCAAATTTTTATTGCTTCCGTAAGGAACCCTTTTCGATAATTCATTTACCTATTAAATGAATCATCTGGACAATTCATATACATACTTTATTTTAAATGCATGACTAAATAAAGGAAGCAATTTACATATATGAATTGAAGAACTCTTTCTTCTATTATTTATGATATATATAGATACAAGATAAAATGCTCTGAAACCGACAACACGAATGGTTTCTAGGGCATACACTAATATACACTAACACAACCACCAGCAAACGATCACCATTATTGCATAACCATATCCAAAAAACAGAAAAAGGAAAGTGATAAGTGATAAGAGAATCATCCTTACCTCTTGAGTATGAAGATTGATCCTCCTGCTCTGAACGTCAAGTGCGCACTAGTCTAAAAGACGGAAAATCAAGGCTCACGAAAGTTTCTTGTTCTCTCTAAAGAGGTGAGTATTGTGACATTGCTTGAGGTGAGCCAGGAGTTTTATAGTGAAGGAAGTGGCGCTTGGTTTTCCCTAAGTCAAACGATGTTTGAACGGAAATCGTCTCTCATCGTTGATCGTGACCACGTGTCGTCAATCAATGGGAAAGAGTAACCGTCATGTTTCGAGAAACCAAATCATCATTTCTCTCTGTTGAAATACTCAAGCGATGGCTCGTTTCTCTCCTCCACATTAAATGCGCTCACATCCGCATTTAATGTTCTAATAGGGAATGTCGTTTCAGCATGACTCGCATTTAATGTGCATGGCTGGCACTTATTGCGCATAGGACACGTCTGTCAGAGCAAAAGGTGTTTCATTAATGTATCTGTTGCCTAAGTGCAACGGATAACATCTGAAGAGGTCGTTAGATAAAACACTTTTCATCGAGTGTCAGTTGCGAAGCGACGTGACTCTTTGCCTTCAACAAAAGATACGATAAGTATAATCAGGTCATGAACCTCGGTCAAAACCGTAATCATCGCTATGACACTTGTTGAAATGTAAAATAGGAAATAGAATTATTCTCTTTGTAATATAGGAAATAGAATTATTCTCATTGTAATATAGGAAATAGAATTATAATAAGAATAGGAAATAGAATTATAATAGGAATGTAACAATTTACTTCCTAGATTAGTTTTTTGTTTTTGCTATAAATTCATTGTACATCTCATTATGAAATACAAGAAAAATATTTCTCCACAACACTGAATAAGGTCTAGTATAGGTCATAGGCCTTACGGAAAAGACAATTTCAGGTCGCCTATATGAAAATGTTTCGCGACCTCCTCGCAACCAGGTCGGATCGACCAGTGGTCACTTAGCACATCAAATCAAGTTAGATTGTGTAGTTTTCAAGATTCGATCCTCAAACATTAAAAACTAGGGGACTTCTGTTATGGTTGAGAAAGTAGGGCTGATGCCAAGCCTTGTCAGCATGGGTGGTTGGAGCTTGAGAAGGTTCTACATCTACTTAGATGCAGCCACGTCGCGTGATGACGTGAGCAGCATGCTCTTGTTAGTGCAGTGGGTATGCGTCAGGTTGGCGAAAGGCTAGAAAAGGTCCACGTGTCCAATCCCTGCACAAGTCGAGGAAATCACTCGGGCAGGTGAGTAATGGGACGTAGAGAAAGATTTGCACGGCATCTGCCCTACTCACAGATTTAGTAATCATTATCTTAATTCCTCCCACTATAAATAGAGGGCTCCTCTCCTGTTTCTAAGCTTAGCTAATTTTTCTCTGAAATAGCATACACACACTCTCTCTCCCTATTGTATTTCTTAAGCTATAAATCAGCTCGCTGAACGCGACCTAACTTAACTCATTAATACAATATCAGTGGACGTAGGATTCACTTGTTTGAGCATCCGAACCACTTTAAATATTGTTCTTCATCCCTTACTCAATCAAACACCCCCATAATTACATGTGACTTCTGAGTCCGCTCAGCATCTCCCACGTGCAAATAGTTGGTGTCAAAATCATGCATCAACAAAGCTTATATAGTGGAAGACGACGATCAAGAAATCATAAGTTAGACTTTAGAAGAAAGAGAATTATGATAATATGAAACTGTGTCCGAAATATTTATAGGAAGAAAGAAAAAAAATACAGTAATTTCTAATGAAAGAGAAATTCAAACTCTATAATTCTTAAGATGATGATATCCATGGTGAAATCATAATTGGAAGTAATAGTAAAATTGAACTTAGGAAATCTCCAAGATTAATTCAACAAAAAGTGTGGAAACATGTCGACATAATAAGCTACAATAAGGAATTTCAAAGAAGTCTATGCTTAAATTAGTCAAGTCAATTACAAGATGTCCAAATTATTGGACTTTTAAAATACTTTTGAGTTTTAGACAAACTCAATTCATGATTACTCCGGTCATGCCCACTACTGCAGTACGGGAACCTGGACTTTCCATTCATTCTTTTCAACAATCTGGTGCTCCTGTCTATCATCAATATGATACAGTCACTGGTCACACCCCATTTGATCTTGACTGCCAATGCTCAGAATGTCGTGATGATCCTATTTGGGAAATCGATGAGCATTATCTTCCAAGACGAAACTATTCCAACCAGAAAAAGAAGAAAGCTCACTGCAGTCAGACAGATCTTCATTCCCGACTTAAAGCTTTATTAATAATTTTTGTTGTGAGGAAGGACAAGATGGTTGAAAACCCGTTATAAGTGAGGGTAGAATGGTCAACAAACATTTTGGCTGCCGTAGAAGAAGAAAAAAAAAAAGTGCACCTTATAGCACCGTAGTCAGCGGTTTTTGCCGTTTTCTGGCCGATCCTGACATTCAAAATCACTTCCGAGACCACCCACAAAATCTCCATCACCTCCTCTACAAAGCCCAAGCCATCACTCACCATTTCTCACCATCACCTCCGTTCGCACGGCCGACTCTTCAAGCTGGATTTCCAGTTGATTTCTTTGCCAGAAATTCCCCCGGACACCACCATCACACTCCCCACAACCCACTCTACAAAACCCTTACCTCTAACACCGTCCCTTGCTTGCCAATTGTCAATTGTGTACCACGTGACCTTTCAACTTCCAAACCGATTTTCGATCGTTTCTAGTGTCAAAAATCCACCCTAAAACCACACCAGAATCCCCATCCTTCCCTCTCCAAAACCCCTAACAACCCTGACCCCATTTTCTCGCCAATCGCTGTCATCCTCTTCCTAGGGTTTTGGTTGCATGATGAACTTGGGGTGTGTTTGATTGATGAAATTAAACAAAATCAGAGATTGATTTGCCAATTGCACGTCGTTCGCCGTTCTCCCCAACATCGGCGGTGGGAAAATGATAAATTTGACTTTGCAACTAAAACCATTGTATTTCCCACCCAAATCAGAAAGAAACATAATATTTGGATACTAAAATAATATTTTAAAGAAAGTATCATTAAACTTTTTTGTTTGGGTGGTGGGAAAAAGTTGTTAACTCGTGTAATAATATAAATCATGGTTATTAGTATCTTATGATACCCAATATGTATCATACGATACGATTCGATACAGGTTGCCAACGATACGTATCAAAGAGTGTATCCTAAACCTTTCGATACGTTGATATGTATCTTCCTAAAAAATATCGATGCAAATCGATACGACTTTATTAACTTGGGTCAAAGGCCCAAAAAAATTTCGGGTCAAAACCAAGTCACCCAACTCGGTTCACTAAAACCTGCCCAAATTTACCCATTTTGCATGGAGAAAGTGAAGAGGAACATGTGTTGCCCATTTTGCATGATAATAATAATACAAGTAGAGATATAAATATTGACATTGATCTTGAAAATGATATGAAAAGTTGAGAGAAAATGATATAGATTCTTAATTTTGTAATTAATTTTGATTATGTCATACCATAATTTAAAGTCAATAATACAACAAAATTCTTTAATTAATCTTGGGATGATTAATTTTTAGAAAATTTTGTATTTTATTAACTTTTTTTTAAAAATACGTATCCTACGATACGATACGATACGATACGTGATACACGATTCAAAAAATTAGGTTTTCGATACACGATACGATACGCGATTTGACAACCATGATATAAATTAATAATTATGTCTAATTTAATTTTCTAGCTAAATATTTTTATGTATTTTACAATTTTTTGGTGTAGAATTTAAATTTTTTAAAATTGAATTTAGCACTAATTAAGATTAAATTTAAGCAGATACAACGCGGGACTTATTTTTGATCAACTTGAAATCATTCGCCTGTATAACGCCAATCAAACAGAAGATCAACAAAAGCTATATCCAAAACATAAAACAAAAGAAAATTAAGTTTCAAGCCCAACTCAAAAAGCAGTTTGCTGTGAAAGCATTCAGCACTCAGTCTTTCCCAGAAAGAAAACCGCACTCTTTATGGTTTATACTGGTCAGTCTAAATTTCTTTTTTAGGGGGTTTGTGTTAATATTTGCATTTAGTTTTAATTTTCTTTTGTTTTATGTTTTGGATTTAGCTTTTGTTGATCTTGTTTTTGGTTGGCGTTATACAGGTGAATGATTTGTGTTTAAACATAAAGCAAGAACAATGGCGAATCAGGCAGCCGCATCTTTTAAAGGCAACTTAAAGGCAATTTTGTTTCCTCTCATTCATCTCTACGTATTTATATTTGTATTTTCTTATGTTTCATTTTTCGAAATCATAAACTAGAACCTTCAATGCAATGCATGCGAAATGTTTGTTAAATGTACCAAACGAGTCGGTGTATTGGTGAAACATAGTTTAATCGAGAAGTTGGCCATACTGTTAAAACTTTTACGAAGTTTGTTTTGTGATTGCCTGTATATTCGATAACGGAGAGCACCCCTTTTCTAATTTATGCAGAAAGCAGTTGCTGGTATTAGACGTATCAATCTGGAAGGTCTACGATGGAGAGTTTTCGATGCCAAAGGCCAGGTTGGACATATTACCTATTTTCTTTTCATATGCTATTGTTTCTTAGAGAATATTGGGCCAGGTAATCTGAATACCGGTTGTTTTGTTGGAAGGTTCATGTTTTCTGTTTCTGAATTATAAGACTGATGCTTGGTGAAAGGAAACTTCTAAGTGAATCGGCTTATTGTTTGCACAAACTAAGCTGACAGAAAGCAGCTTGAAGTTTTGCTGAAGCAACTGGTTTCTTGATTCATATTCTGATGATATGTTCACGATCCCATAGGATTTGAATTGTTTCATATTGTATGAAGTTGGTGAAAGATAATGGTAACCCACTTTCTATGTAGGTCCTTGGGAGATTAGCGTCTCAAATAGCTACTGTGGTACAAGGCAAGGATAAGCCCACCTACACTCCTAATCGTGATGATGGGGATATGTGCATTGTGCTTAATGCAAAGGATATACAAGTTACTGGGAGAAAACTTACGGATAAGTTCTATCGCTGGCATACTGGGTAATTTTAATGGATATGAGACAAGTATTTGGTTTATATTATACTTCACTTTGACCTTCTTTTAGTTGAGTTTGGAGAACTGTAAGTGAATGCTTATTAAGTGGCACAGACAAAAGAAATAACGGCTGATTTTTCAAATTTGCTAATGGGAAAGGAAACGTGTGTCGTTTCAATTTCGTTCATGTTGTTTATGAGTTCAACTTGCTTTTTTTCTGTCTTAGTGTGTATCTGTATTCCTTAGGTATATAGGCAACCTCAAGGAAAGGAGTTTAAAGGACCAGTTGGCCAAGGACCCTACAGAGGTTATTCGCAAAGCTGTCCTACGTATGCTTCCGAGAAACAAGTTGCGTGATGTAAGTATAATAGCTAACACATTAGATGAACTATCTTTTTCTCATTTTTTGACATGGTTCTTTATCGTGCTTTGGTAGCTTTTTGATTTTCACTCTAATTTTACTGTTTTAAATTGAGTATATATATGCCTATATTTTTGGGTCCAGCTCCCAAGACCCTGGAAAATCTTTAACTTTGTGCTGGAATGTTTGAGTTATGTACTTGAATTGGTGTGAACAAAAATGAGGCTCTCTTGGTTCATGCTTGTGGAGAATAATTATTGTGGCATTTTCATTTGAAAAACTTAAGAAAACCTTCACATTATGTATCTTAACTTTATCAGAAACAGAATTATTTCTGGATTAAAGCATGTGGTGTACCACTAAAATTACCGGGTTGACTCTGTGGTTCAGCATTCTCTAATAATTATTAATATCCGTGGTATCTAAAATTCACATAGTTACCAGGGTTTGTGTGCATTCCTATTTCAAGGTTACAATGAGTATATCTTTTTCCTATTGGTGAAAGTACGTTGTGTGAATTTGTGTAGTACAAATGTCCATATTGACATGCTACTTTTGCTTCAACATTTGGTTTAAGCAAATTATTGTGGATGCAGGATAGAGATCGAAAACTTAGAATATTTTCTGGAAGTGAGCACCCGTTTGGTGACAAGCCTCTTGAACCATATGTCATGCCACCTCGAACAGTTAGAGAAATGCGACCTCGTGCAAGACGAGCCATGATTCGAGCTGAGAAAAAAGCTGAGGAGCACCAGCAACAGGGTGCCGATGATATGAAAAAAGGCAAAAAGAAAGAAGGTGAAACACCCAAGAAGTTGAAACAGAAGTTGCTGGGACAGTTGTGGCTGCATGAAGGGCCCATATAGTTTTTATTGGCTTCTCTAATTGGGAAAACACCAGTGTCTGTATGTAACCCCACAGAAATCTGGGCTCCAGTTATCTCATTTTTGGAATGGTACTAGCATGCCTGGTTTTTGAAATTTATTAAGGTCCTGAAATTTTAAGCAAAATGAGAACAGGGCTATTGGGTTTGGTTCTTTGAATTTAAAGTGGGCAATCAATTGATGGAATAACCTTGTAGGGAGTATGTATTGAAGTATTCCGTTTCTTCTCTTTTCTTTTCGAAAGCAGTACATTCAATTATTCGATCGTTGTTTCCTATAGCTATATTATGACAAGTTTACAAAGAATGAACTATGAAGAGGATCATACAATCTTATAATCGTATTTGTCCTCACTCCACATGCACGGGCTGCACTACCAGGCTACAAGCAATTCTTTTGCCTGTCCATTTATGTTACTTCTGCTATTACTAAAGGTAAGGCTTGAAAATTTGTAACACAAAGCATAGAAAATCCCGACTATCTTAAAAATGAAGTTTATAAAATCTTTCCAGCGCATTGACTCGTGTGAGATGGTTGCTACATCCCAGTAAGCTTTTTCCTGAAATGGATAATACCTACAATCTGTAGGTTCATGACCAAGTATTCTGAACTTGGACAATCATTATTGTGGACCAAGCTATCAGAATTACGTTTCTAAAAGGCATTACACACCGTTGAAGACAGAATTTCAGTAAAAGATAATAAGTGTCTATAAAGCCTACAGCCTTCAAGCCACAGGATGAAAATAAAAATATGCAGTTAGCTGCTGGCGCTTGAACAATTAAAATCAAACTCAACAAGTATAACAATGTCTCAGAACTCATACAAGTGTTATACGGTTATAAACACATAATCATACATCAGAACTGCAAGTCTTTGTTTAGCTGATAACAAATAAACTACAGTTTTATCTTGAAGCAAAAAAATAAAACCCACAAAATAAATGTGCTTTGTGATCTACGAGCACAATATTTCTCTTCTCCTCCCGGCTAATCCAAAAGAAATTACTGAAATTCTAATCACTTGATGATCCATCGTCATCATCTTCATGCTCTGCCACAACTTTCTCTATAAAACTCCTTCGCACTCCGTCAATCACAGTTTTTCTCGATGGATCACCTCCATTCTGACCATCATTTAGTACAGGATCTGATTGACAGAGAACTAACGCAACACCTGGTTTACGGAGGATGAAATTAGATTTAATTAACTTCTTTAAGGAAAACCAAAAAAAAAAAAAAAAAAAAGAATATCACAGACAGAATAGGAGGGTACAGCGAAAGAGGCTAAAGAGCATAAATTCATCCTCATTTCTATCAGGAAAAAGAAGAATAAGAGTTCTGCAAAGATGATGAGTTTAAACTTTTATGCCATGGCAGCATCTGCTCCATGCTGATATAAATTAATACCAGACCTATGGCATATAGCACACTTCGACAGGCAATATGTGAGCTTGGATTAAGGACAAGGGTCCGAACACCATTTTTTCCACTTCCTTTTCAAGTACATCATTAGGAATAAACAAGTGAGAGGAAAATTACTTATGCAGAGCGCACGAAGTAGCAAAAGTAAAAGAAGCTTACAAACAATTTCAGAATGGCAGTGGTCTATGAAAATAAAAGATTGGGACAAATTTTAAACAAATCAGGGAAAGAAAGTTTAAACATCCTTTTAAACAAGAACTATCAACTCAATTTATGTCACAAACATTTTTTTTTTTTTTTTTTTGAATTTCAGTTTGCCAGCTAAAAGACATGAACGTTCCAAATTTGGCCAATTAGGATCTGAAGCTTATTGTATCATCTGCCATTGAAAATTTTCCCATGCCAAAAATTCATATCCCCTTTGTAAAGAGGGATGAAAATTAGAAATCAATAAATGTTAAAAAGTTAGAAAAGGAAAAATGAGAGACAAAGATTTAATGACATGATTGAGATTTTGCCTCGAGATTACTCACGAGATGGTTATCAAAATAGAGGATGCAACATTCCATATGACAAATGAACGAACTATGAAGAGAAGCAACAAAGCTCTTTGGAATTAAAAAAGCAGAACGAAGGAAAACTGTGATATACACATACCCTCAGGTGTGCATTTCCGGCCAAAATTATGCAAACCCACATAATTTGCCTTGACGGCACCATTGTTGTACACCAATAGAGTAGGAAGGTTGCAATCTGGGTAGTTAGGAATACAATCAGTTGATATTATTTTAACAAATTTTGTTGCCGGGTATTTTCGCGCCAATTCTTCCAAGCATTGCATCAGCAGCCCACACTCTGGAAATCTATCACGAAATTCAGGAAAGGGAAAAAAAAATGAACGAGTTGGATCAACACTGGTTTTGGCAACATTAAACAAAATAGAATTCTAATTCCTTAAAGTTTCAATACCCTTCCTTGTAGAGTATCACAACAACCCAAACATCAGGGGGAGCTTGAGAAACCTCTCGTACGAAATCTGATCCTGAAATTGGCATCACAGATCCAAACCTCGAAAGCTTAGCTGCTTCTCTCATCTCAGCTAATCTCTTTTTCCTATCAACACAGGCCTTTCAAGATAAGCCAAAATTCAACTATATCACTGAACAGTAACAAAATTCTCTACCAGCAAAATCAAACATCCAAAACAATACGCTGATTAAGAAGTTGACTTGAATCTCAAAAGATAACAATCAGGGGAGAATTCTGAGTTTCTTAGAAATCTCAAACAACTGAAATGAGAAAGAAAAAAAACAAAAAAAACATAACTTTTATTCTTAGGTAGCTACTCACTCCTCACAATTTCAAACATAACTCCTATAAGAATCAAGAAAACAGATTTCTAGCCAAAACTACGCTGTTAAACCAAGATAAACGGCTAAAATATTAACCATACAGTATTAGAAAAGATCCCAGATAAGAAAGGAACCTGTATTCTTCAAGGAAGCGATCATCGTCAAGATCGGGATCGTCCTCCAACTCTTCGAGCTCTTCTTCGGTTTTCTGATCGACCCATGACTTGTCTTTGGGGATCGAGTCTTGGTCGGGTGCCGGTTCGAAAGGAGGTGGCTTGAAGGCCGGTGCCTTAGGTGGTAAATTTCCAAGCTTTCTTTGAATATCGTCCCATTGTGTCGATGCACCTTCCACGTCTTTATATACAAAGTGATAATCTCCCATCTTTCAAATAGATTAATTTGCTTGCTCAGCTTCTTCAATGGCCTCCTTTGATCTGCAGAGATATGTCTAATGTCTTGGTCCCGTTCGGGTTCTAGTTCTAGAGAAACCGCACCACTGTTATAATTGTTATTATTTTTTTATTTTTCTAAAAGGCCGGAGGAGAATAAAGTGTTAATGAGCCCAATCATCAGAGCCCAATCATGGTTATTTCAGCCCAAAAATTAGTGTACCCAATAGGAATTAGGAGTTTAAAGCGAGTTAACTCAGACGCCGGGAGAATACACCGATTTATACCAAGCCACGTAGAACATCTAATTCAGAAGTTGGAGAGTTTCTCTCTTTTTTTATTTCTTCTCTCAGCTTGCTCTGAGGTTGAAACAATCGATCAGAAGCATGCAGTCAGTAGAAAATTTTGTTACACAAATCCAAGGGCTATCGAGCAGCGCTGCTGATATCGCAGCCCTTAACAATTACTTGAAAGCTGCCGAGGATTCGTTCCGCTCTGATTCCTCTCGACTGTTGTTGTTTCTCGACCAGCTTGACCCCTCCAAACACTCCCTCGGTTACCTTTATTTCCTGTATTTTCTTCTTCCCACGCTTTTTTTTTTTATTTTTTTTATTTTAATTAAGATTATTGTTAGGCTTTAATCTATTCTGCGAGATGCAGCCTCTTTTTATTGCTGGTTTTTGTAGTGATGCAATTGCAATTCTTGGTTGCTTTTATTTTTATTATTGTTATTGTTGTTATTATTATTATTATTATTATTATACAAGCGGAAGTAGTTGCATTGTTGATTTATAAATAAGCGGAATAATTTATAATGCTTCTCGTTTTCATTATGAATTAAATAAATAATTAAGGAGATCTTTGTTGGTTGTTCAGTTTACTTACTTGGTTTTTGGTGTTGAAAAACAAGGGAATTTTAATTGCGTGTTGTTTGTGGTGACAGGGAACCGTGCGTGTATGGTTCGATAACAAAGGAGCGAGCCAGTACACTGGTTCCCATCATTGCCAGGTTTATTACTTCTTGTGCTCCAGAGCAGATTCGTTTGGCATCTGACAAGTGTATGAGCTTTTAACTTTAATTCAGTTATTCTATCTGAACCTTTGATGTTATTTTATTTCAATGTCATTGTTATTTTTGCATTTGCAGTTATAACTGTTTGTAAGAGGTTTAAGGATATGGTGATGTTGCTTGAAGCACCCATCAGAGGGGTTGGGCCAATGCTGAGCGCTATCCGCAAGATTCAGCCTTCCACCGAGCATTTGACTACACTACATCCGGAGTTTCTGCAACTTTGTTTATTATCAAAGTGTTATAAAACTGGTCTTTCAGTTCTAGAGGATGATATTTATGAGATTAATCTGCCAAGGGATTTTTTTCTCTATTGTTACTATGGGTAGGTTGCTTTACTGCTTAGTGTTCGTTTCATATGACACAATGGTTTCCTGCTTTAGCCTGCCATGTTTATTTGGGTTCTATGTTATGCTCTTGCGTTGCAAACTCTCATGTTTCATTTATTTGATCAATTTTTTGTTTTTTTTTTTTTTAATTATTATAACAATCTAACATCAAAATAGAGAACTGGATGCATTTACAATGTATTTCCTTTGACTAAAAAATTGTGCAAACTTAAATTCTCGGTGAAGTTAAGAATCTGTTTGGTTATAAATGTGTTAATCGATCAAATTGAGGCATTTATAGTTTAGGGGTTTCAGTTTTTCACTTGAAGTATTCACAAAATGATTTTTCTTACTGGTTCATGTTGGACATTGTGACAGTGGGATGATACTCATTGGACAAAAGCGTTTTCGGAAAGCTTTGGAGCTTCTACACAATGTATGTCATTTATCTACAGTAGTGTTAATTCTTTATTGATCATCAAGAATCAATAAGACAACTTGATACTAGGAAGTCCTAATGACTTATCAATTATTTCCAGGTTGTGACTGCTCCTATGTCTTCAATCAATGCTATAGCTGTGGAAGCGTACAAAAAATATATATTGGTTTCCCTCGTGCACCATGGACAAGTATGCTATGTTCTTTCTTTCACCAGTCTACTTGACATTTATATGAACTGTGCCTGTAGAAGGTTATTTAATGGTAATACTTTGTCAAACAGTAATGAGCAGTTTGGAATCATAATTTTAGATGTGATCAGTTTTTCATGGTCAAATGAACAAAAAATATATTAACAAATGGCTAGAAAAGGTGTAATCATAGTGCATAGGCAGTGTACAGAAGACACACCTTATCACTAAAATTTGATCTCAATGCACTAGGATATACTTAGTTCTGTGTGCTCATTCATGAATTTTATTTTCAGTGAATCTAGACAAGGTTTAACTTGGGTAATTCATCTTTCATTTTTTTTTAATTGATAACTTTCTTTGAGATATATCTCTTAACTGTTGATGTATTTTTGGCGACAGTTTTCTACCAACCTCCCTAAGTACACTTCTTCAGCAGCTCAGAGGAATCTAAAGAACTTCTGTCAGGTAAAGCTGAAATTAAGTATTACTATCATTTTGATTATATATATATATTTCGAGTTGTCAAATCATAGGTTACTAGATTCCTGCCCTAAGATGATACTGGAAAATAATTTTTCTGTCTAGTAGTTGGGATATAATGCATCCCAGAATTTATAAATTTAGTTCTTGTGGTTCTCAAAGTTGACGGAAAGTGTTTATTGTGTTGGTTTTGCATTCTGCGGTAAAGACAACATCTATTGACTTTTGGAAGGCATATATTTATACATGTAGTTCTTGTAGTTCACAAGTTGATGGAAAGAAAGTTAGCATTTTTTCCTTTTCTCATGCTTAACTTATTTTGATTGGTTTCTTCTCTTGCTTGAGTAGACCTACATTGAATTAGCGAATACTTACAACACTGGCAAAGTGTCAGAACTGGAGACATTTGTTCAGACAAATAGGGAGAGATTTGAAAGTGTGAGTTCTCTAACTTACAATTTGTTTTCCCTTTAAAAATCAGCTATTTGGTTTCCGGAGGTTATTCTAAACCTTTGGTTTTTTTGTAGGACAACAATCTTGGACTAGTGAGGCAGGTTGTATCATCCATGTATAAGCGTAATATCCAGCGATTGACACAGACGTATTTGACTCTCTCCCTTCAAGATATAGCCAACACAGTACAACTTAACAGCCCTAAGGAGGCAGAAATGCATGTGCTTCAAATGGTAGAAGTTGCAGTGCTGTATCACTAATGGTGCATTCCTGTGTATGTTGCATCTTTGACAATATTATTCTTTTAAATTTCAGATACAAGATGGGGAGATATATGCAACAATAAACCAGAAGGATGGAATGGTTAGGTTTTTGGAGGATCCTGAACAATATAAAACGTGTGAGATGATAGAGCATATTGACTCTTCAATCCATAGGTATGAATATCATACAGACTCTTTAAAATAATTTCTGCTGGGAACTCAAGTGTATTTGATTTTATCAACAGAAAATCAGATTAGTTACATGTGATACTTATAATGAGCATTGATATGTTCTCTTTTTTCAATTTAATTTGCTATAGTTTGTTACGTTGTTGAATAAACTTTTGCAATATCAATTATTAACATTAGGTCAGTTAAAAGGTAAAGATACCGATTGTTAACTTTCTTGCCTTTTCCCATAGACAAAATACATTGTGATCACTGTTAATAATTGCTATGTTACCTTATTTTCCAGGATAATGGCCTTGTCAAAGAAACTCACTGCTATGGATGAACTTCTATCATGTGATCCTTTGTACCTTGCAAAGGTGACCATATCGTTTCCATTCCTATAAACATTATATAGGCTTGCTTTTGGGATCATTGATTCACTAACAGATCATGTTTGCATGTTCAGGCTGGGAGGGAGAGACAGAGATTTGACTTTGATGACTTTGATACCGTTCCTCAGAAGTTCAATATTTAAGACTTGAGGACTCCTGGCATCTGGACTAAGTAAGAGATGATGAGCATGATATTAGACTTTTTTCATTTGTTCTATTGATTTTTTGTTTCAATCGGCTCCATCTAGTTCTAAGTATGGAAGACTTCCATTTTGTTCCTAAATGAGCTGTTGATATAAGAAAGCCACTAGTTGTGAGCATGTTTACTTACAAGCAAGTTGATCCATTTTTACTAGTTAGTTTTATCCGGTCAACCACCTTTTTTTTGTTTTTTTAATTTGGTTCTTAAATAGAGTTAATTACACAGACCTCCATGAGGTTTAGAGGCGCATAGAAAATATCATATCATTAGGTTAACACAAACACCTTACTTCTTTAACTTCCGTTAGGGCTAAGTTAGGGTTATTTTCTTTACACTCTCTTAAACATACAAAATCTACAAATTGCCCTTTATAATTAGTCACTAGCACCTCTTACCATTAAGTTTTGGTGTTAAATTAATTGAGAGAATGGCACATAGTTGAAAATTAAAATATTTTGCTTTGCAAAGTAAAAATATAAAAACTGAATAAATAAAATAAAATATACTTTCTAAATATATATTTTTGTAAATTGAAAATTCAATCATAAATATTTTAAAGAAAAAAGATGACCGATTTTGGCAATCAAAGAATGATGGTTTTGAAGATCTTTGGTTGTCGTGGACCTCTTTTTTTATTTTAAAAGTAAATTCTTTTAAAAAAAAAAAATTTCTAAATATATATATATTTTTTATAATTTTGGAAGATTTAATATATGGTTTAGAAATTTTAACATAAAGTATCTATTTTACCCTTTCCTAACACAAAATGGACGGTAAAGGGTGTAAGTGACTAAATATGGGGGTAATTGTCAGTTTTTTATGTTAGAGGGCTGCAAAAAACAACCCAAACGGAGCTCTAATGGAAGTTAAAGGAATGGACAGTTTGTGTTAACCTAATGATCTTTTCTATCTGCCTGTTAAAGATTGAAACCTCAGGAAAGTCTATGTAATCAACTCTCCTTAAATATAGTCCTTAATTAAGGCATTCATAAATGGATGAAGACTGTGTGTTTAATGTCCAAATGAAAGAAACACCAAGTAGCTGCCGAGTAATTCAAATTCATGTTTGCGGTCAGGAAAACTCAAATTTGTGACATTATTAATATAGATAAATGACATGGTGGTGCAGAAAAAGTGCAGAAGTTTGGATAATCTGAATAAAAGTGTAAAACTATCTGTCATAAGTTATAGCATGTTAGGGTGCATCAAGAACAACATAATTCATGATTAAATACTTGATAGATAGTCTAAGTGGTAACAATGAATAGCTATCTTGTTGTGTACAACCCTGTGTACAACCCCCATATGGTTCTGCAGCACGAGATTCAAATTCTTTAGCCATTACAATCAGGATGAGTTGACATAGTAGTGGTTTGTGGGAAGGTTTTAGTGTGTCATGGCTTGGCAATAACATGCCTCTCTCAATCAGCTCCTGCATTTCGAATTTGCAGTAGTACCAAAGATAATAACTAATATCTCGGGTGGTAACAAAGATAGTAAAAAGTAAAAAGATTTGCAGTCAGCTTTCACATATCACACACAAAAAGTTGACATTGTAATCAATCATGGTGTATACAGCGGAATCAAAGTTCCAAATCAACACAAGCACTAAGGACAATTCCCGTGCTTAATAATAAATTTCTCAAAACAAACGGCCGGTACATGTACAGAGAGGGGGGAAAATGGAAACTAAAAAAATGCCCCCCTATAATCAGATTTTCAACACCTATCTGAACAAAAGTATCAAGAATAAACTACATTTGAGTACAAAGAATATATCCAAACCCTTCTTACGTTGAAAAGAATAATAAAGTTAATTAATCTTTGGTGCTTCTATCTTTACACAGCATGTGCCACTCTTGAAGAACGGCCGCTTGAAGAGCAAGATGCTCAGCCTCCTCAGCTGTTAACTTGGACAGAGTCGATGGTCCCTTGGTTTTACCATCTTCCTCACCGTTTTCCTTCTTTTCTTTTTTATCCTCATCTTCTTTCTCTTCCTCCTCATTTTCCTCTTCTTCATCAGGTTTTGGTGTCTTTTTCGGTTGGGCGGCCTTTAGCAATGCTATCCGTTCCATTGAGATCTTAAGCCTCTCGACAGCAGACGCCTTCACTTCATCTTCAGGCATGTACTCCACTCCCCCATCAGTAAGGTCATCTAACCAACCTTGTAGATCTGATCCAATCTCCTTAGTGATTGATGCATCAGAAGCTCGAACCACAAATTTGCACAGCATGGTCGTGGTCTCATCACCCAGATCAACATTTCTACTTACTTCACTGGCTCCAAAAACCATCATGCCCAAGAAGCCACCATACCAAGTTTTGGCAGCATAACAGAGCTGTTCAAAGTCGAGGAATTAAATGGTAATGTCAGAAGGGTAGCCTGAAAACGCATGAACAATAACTAACATCAGTACTAGCATTACCTGAAACCCTGCAACTGCACGGATGATGTGGGAACACACTCTGTGGAAAGGTTTGGAGGACAAGGATTTTAGTCCACTGAAAAAAGGAGAAGTCCCATACTGCTGTGCAGCAGTAGCCCTGAACCCACTTCCTTCATAAATATATGTACCAGTGTACTCTACTATAGCAGGTAAACTGGGCCATAGTCGGAAAAATTCAGCAGGCGATATTTTGTGTGGCAACAGAAGTTCAGTCAGCGGAAGCTTGTAAGGCTGACACCTTAAAATCACAGGTTCTCCCAACTCTGGACGTAAGCTTCTCTTTTGTCTCATGATTTGTGGATCCTCTTCAACATAATCACCATCATAATCTACTATTGCACCACTTCCATGGAAAGGATAGTATAAGACTTGAACCCAAAAGGCACTTCTCTCAAAATGGGAGACACCCACTGTCACACTGCAGAGTACTGGATCCTGCAAACAGATCATATGTAAGTAGAACAGAAGAGCTCCTTAGGTAAATAGGGTATGTTACGAACACGACACTACACATATGGAAGCAGTGAAATCAGAAAGTAAATATCCAGGCGTAGAAGATGACACCAAATCAATGGCTAAAAGCAAAACACCTTCAAAGTATAATCAAAAGAGAATATTTCCATTTGCATCTTTAACGAAAATATTTTGCTACCTAGAGAAACACTTTTCTCACATCCATGATATCACATCAAGGCCAAACACAAATTGTGCTACTACAGAACAGTTTTCTCACCTCAAAATCACACCAATGTTCATCACAAATTAATCAATGTTTATAGTTTTCAAGTGAAAATCCAACTACAAGTAAAAAATTGACTAAAAACCTTTAGATAATCCTTGATCATAGGCAGAAAAAAAGTTGGAAATAATTTGTTTGAAAATACAAGCAAGTCCTGAAACATGCGTATGACCTGGGGTATGCTTGAAAGAGCAGTGCAAATAGTTTAACTCTTTCACTTTCAAATGGTAGTGGTCAATGTATAATAGACAGGCATAACACAATGGCAATAACAAGTTAAGCAAAAAGTTTGCAAAGTCTGGATGAGAAAAACAAAAAGGACATATTAACAAAGGAGAAAAACGAAACCTGTGACACAAGATTTCGTAGCTGCCGAACTGCCTGAGGAGATCCGTTCATAAAATACAAAGCACCCGATAATCCCACCCGAATATCCACTCGATTTAGTTCAAGTTCCGTCAAATTTAAAACCTGCAAAAATAACCAATTACATTAATACACCATGAACCTGATTTTTTTTTTTTTTTTTTTTCTTTTTTACAAAACTCAATAGAACTTACATAAATTGAAGTATTAGAAAGAAATGAACAAGCTGTCTACAATACATTTATACATGAATGAGTCAAGACAGAAACAAAAACCAACTAAAGATAATGGACATAATAAAAGGTCCTAAAATCCCGAAAATCCCTAAAACTATACTCCTTACTCACATAACTGCATCCTCCCAACTGTTAAGAATAAAGAAAAAAGGCACATCTCAAAATTCATGTGGAATTGAAGCCCAACACTGAGTTTATTATGAACTGATAACAGGCCATCATCCACTACAGACATTATCCTGATGCTAAAATAACTATATTGTTATGAAAACCCACTGAGCTGCAAGTCATAAAATCATTCTACTATCAATCATACTATCACTTGAACTCCTGGACCAAATATAAACAAGCATGATAAATTCTGAACACTTATGCTGTAAATAACCTTCTATTCAAACATTACCAACACAAAGACTAAAAAGTCCCTACCATTTAGAAAAAGCATAATATCATCCAGCATGGTCACAAGACAAATAAAAAATAGATATCAAATATTCTCGTCAATGTGGAGCTCTAAGAAGAAAGAATAGATAGTAGCTACTCAAAAGCATTTCATAGTTTGTGAGAACAAATGACATGCTGATTACTATTCAACCATAAGTAATCAATCGAGCATCTTCGATGAGCACCATTTGACTCCCTAAATGGAAAGAAGACAAACAGTGTATGTTATGTACAAAATTTTGAGCTAGTGACTTATTTTGGCATGTCAGAGAGAGACAAAAAGGACTATGAAGTCCAAAATACTAGGGCATAAATCTTAACCTTTAGATGCAGAGTAATCCTTCCATCATTTGAGTCCGCCAAATGATATGCTTCAATATAGCATGGATCACTACTGCCAGTCAAAGTATATGCAGTCGGAGGAGCCTTGAGTGATGTAGAGTCAATTCCTTTTGTCAGCAAAAGAGTTAATTCACTAGGGTCTGGTCTCCAGAGCTCCAAAATAGCCTTGTGAACCAAGCTTTCCAATTTTCTGTCTTGAGCAGCTGATGCTTCATAAAACTGAACAGTAAGTTGATGGTGGCTAAATGGGTAATCTCCTCTGGCTTCACTAACACCAGCCCACCTGAAAAAAAAAATAATATATATTACTTTAGTGCATAAAAAAAAAAATAATTACAGAACATAAGGTTCAGAGAACATGTTAAATAGAAAGGTGATTTGTCAAATGTCTGGCACCAACAGCATTCTAACAAAGGAAAAAACAGTGTAGAAAGATAAAATATAAACTTTTGTAGAGACGACAGGGGTAAATTATGAAGAAAACAGCCATAACAAAGAGACAACATCAGGACTGATGCTCCAAATGACTGGTTTGGCAATATTTGCTCAACATT